AGAACGTCCACACGTGACCTCCCCGGGTGGAAGGGGTGCACCACGTGGCGGGCCGTGGGACCAGGTCCTGGGAGGGGGCGAGGGAGGGCATTAACTCCGGGTTCCCTGGGGCTATCCTATAAGGAAGCGAAGCCTGTGAGGGAAGTGGAGGGTGGGAGGTTAACCCAAATCTATGGCCTCTGTGGAGAAAGAACCATGAAGAGCTGAGTCGTCATCTGATGTGGGAGGAGCGACGGGGAAATTGGATAAGAGGAGCCGGTGGGGGCTCCTCGGGAGACAGCGCGTCTCTGCCCCTGTCGCGTCCTTTTCCCTTCTGCCCCCACAGGGACCGTTGTGGGGGCAGCTCTGGGAAAGATCTGCTGTATCACAGGGAAGGATGGTTTTGGGCAAAGACCAGCCGGAGGGGAGGAGGGATCTTGATTCTGCCCCCATTTGCTGTGTCGTCTCAGCTTCCCCACCTGCCCGATAGCAGTAAACATCTCCTAATCCGAGGCTTTCTGCCCTTCCCACTTCGCAATGGTTTCCGAAGGCTAACAGCTGAGAGCGCCTCCTCTGTGCCTGGCCCTGTGCTGGGACACCAAAGTGACCTAGACAGCCCCAGGCCGTGCCCCCACTGTGGGGCGGGCCGACAGACACATCGCCAGAAAGCGACAGCCCAGAACGATCAGGGATGAGAGATGGGGGAGGCACAGGGTCCGAAGTGGGGGGAGGGGCGACTCCTATCTCAGCCTGAGGGATCAGAAATGTCTAAACTTAGACAGAAAAGGGGGGAGGTGCCGCCTTGGAAGAGGATTGGCTTCTAAAAAGAGATATTTCAAATGAGACCTGAAGAAATGAGTAGTATTCTCGAAGGTGCCATGTCAGGAGAAGGTGTTCTAGGCAAAGGGACTGGCATATGCAAAGGCTTAGAGATGAGAAACTGGTTTATCTCTCTCAGAGACCTTTGCTCCCTCCCTGGGGATCCCCTGTTGCCCTAGCAGAGGCCTCTGTCACGGCCCCCAAGTCCTGGACCCCCACAGGCTCGTTAGTGGGCGGCACCCATAAACTCTGGAGGACTCTTTCCCTCACAGCCTGGTGGTTTAAGGACTGGCCTTGAGTCAACCAGAAGCTGGGTTTGAATCCCTGCTGCCCTGCTAACCAGGTGTGTGACCTTGGCTCAGCGACACAACCTCCCCATCTATCAAATGGGGATATAATGTTGGGTGTCACAGATCACCTCATTTTAAAGAGCTATAAAGAGTTAACCCCACTGGTCTGTCAGTTTGTCATACTGGGGTGTGGTGGCTTGCATGTTGCTGTGATGCTGGAAGCTCCACCGGTTTCAGACACCAGCAAGGTGACCCATGGTGGACATGTTTCAGCTGAGCTTCCAGACTAAGACTAAGAAGAAGTACCCAGAGGTCTACTTCTGAAAAACATTAGCCAGTGAGAACCTTATGAATAGCAGCGGAACACTGTCTGATATAGTGCTGGAAGATGAGCCCCTCTGGGTGGAAGGCACTCAAAACACGACTGGGGAAGAGCTGCCTCCTCAAAGTAGAGTTGCCCTTCATGACATGGATGGAGTCAATCTTTTGGGACCTTCAAGTGGCACGACTCAAAATGAGAAGAAATAGATGCAACCATCCACATAATAATAGGAAGGTGGAAAGTATGAATCCAGGAAAATTGGAAGTTGTCAAAAATGAAATGGAATGCATAAACATTGACATCTTAGGCATTAGTGAGCTGAAATGGACTGGTATTGGCCATTTTGAATCAGATGATCATATGGTCTACTATGCCAGGAATGACAAATTGAAGAGGAATGACATTGCATTCGTCGTTAAAAAGAACATTTCAAGGTCGATCCTGAAGTACAACGCTGTCAGAGATAGGATAATATCCTTATGCCTACAAGGAATACCAGTTAATATAACTATTATTCAAATTTACACACCAACCACTAAGGCCAAAGATGAAAAAATCGAAGATTTTTACCAACTTCTACAGTCTGATATTGATCAAAACATACAGTCAAGATGCATTGATAATTACTGGTGATTGGAATGCAAAAGTTGGAAACAAGAAGGAGCAGAAGTTGGAAAATATGGCCTTGGTGATAGAAAATACACTGGAGATCGTATGATCGAATCCTGCAAGACTAACAACTTCCTCACTGCAAATACCCTTTTTCAACAATACAAACAGTGAGTATACACATGGACCTCACCACATGGAATACACAGGAATCAAACTGACTACATTTGTGGAGAGAGAGACGATGGAAAAGCTCAATATCATCAGTCAGACAAGTCCAGGGGCTGATGTGAAACAATCAATTGCTCATATGAAAGTTCAAGTTGAAGCTGAAGAAAATGAAAACAAATCCACGAGAGCCAAAGAATGAACTTGAGTGCATTCCACCTGAATTTAGAGACTATCTCAAGAATAGATTTGACTCATTAAACACTAATGACCAAAGAACCAGGTGAGCTGTGGGATTCCATCAAGGACATCACACATGAAGAAAGCAAGAGGTCATTAAAAAGACAGGAAAGAAAGAAAAGACCAAAACGAATGTCAGAAGAGACTCTGAAACTTGCTCTT